TATGAAATATGTGAAATTCCTCCTTTGCACTAAAAAAAGGAAACACTAATATGATTTCAATGTTGCTAAAATTTGCAGGAATGATGAAACTCCGATCTACAGCACAGTCCAGAAGAGCGTGAGAAGATAAAAGCTCCCACCTCTCCAGCAGACGAACCGATATTGGTGAACAATATGAGGATATTTATCATTTTCGTAAATCTCATCACAATGTACTTTTCTGGGTATTTTGTGAATACTGTACTTTAACACTGACCAACTGCACGATTCATTACAAAGAGAGCTTAATTAGTCCTGTTTAATTAGGTTTAGTGCAGCACAGAATGTGAAATAAAATTACTGTATAGTGTTTGATGGATTTAAAAAAAAAAAGCAAACAAACTACAACTTGTACAAAACGCAGCAGCGAGAACATTAACACGTACTAGATAACGAGATCATATAGAGCAGTTTTATCATCACTCCACTGGCTGCTTCCTTTAGAACTGACTGTAATGTTTTATTAGTAGTTCCTGAATCTCTTAGTGGTGCAGCTCCTTCATACGTCTCTGAAAGCCTCATAAACTCTGATCCACATCGAGCTCTGAGATCATCCAGTGCTGCCTTCACCATTTTCCACTAATTACACTTAGGAAAAGGGGTGAAGCAGACTTCTGATTTTGTTATGCACCAAAGATCTGAAACACATGATCAATAAACATTCGTCTTCTTTTATGCACTGATTTTAAAATACTGTACAACAAATTATCACTTTAGCGTTTAACTAGCTTTTATTATTTTCCTTACTTTTACTGTAATGTTACTTTTACATTACTTATATTATTCTAATTATTGTACTTTTTATCATTTTTTTGTTTTTAATTGTTTGAACTGTTTTCATTAACTCTTTTTTTTATTGCTGATTTTTGTTGCACCTTGTTTACCAATTTTATTTGACTAACTTTTGTTTCTTTTCTTTCTCTGATGTTTTAAGTTCACAATGTAAAGCACTTAGAGCTAATTATTATTATTATTATTACTATTTTACTGAACAGTATTATTTCATTGTAAATATGCATTGCTTTAATATAATGTTTAGTGAGGCAAAATGAATAATAAAACAGTAATGTTGCACATATTTAATGCAAATTATTAAATAGGACCACAATAGTAATATAAAAACAGTAGAATTGGGGAAAGTGAGGATGTAAAGGATGTTATTGTTCTGCTTTTCTAACAGATCTACTGTACACAGCGGTGCAGTTTGCCTCACCTCATTTACCTCAACCTCAAACATTTAAAGTCAGCATGAATCAGAAATCAGAGCCTAATTTCCTTTAAATGATGTTCACTGTGATCGGCTGTTTCGTTCTAATAAAGCACTGAAAGCACTGCTGGGTTTTAGAGAGCATTGTTTGGGTTCTACAGAGTAACAGAAGAACAGTAATGAGTAGAGTTGTGTGCACAGTGTGATTAATATCATGGGTTCAGCACCACCTACTGGTTGGTCAGTAAAATGCAGCCTCTTCTCCTTTAAGGAATTCTGGGAAACTCACAGTAAAGACTGAGTGCATTGCTGTGGGTCCTCACTGCTCCTGACTGTGGACCCAGAAAAATCTAAATATCACAGTAAAGTGCTGAAATGTTCAATATCAGCTTCTATATTCATAATTAATACCACTTACAGACCAACATACTGAAGCTGGGATTATCAGAACGACCATTTCAGTTATTTTACTGTTAGAGCCTCACGGAGCTGCGCTAGTGTTAGCTCGTTTTATTTACACAGATAATCTGACCAAATTTGAAACTAGCATTTTGTGATTGCCATATTCACAGGTAAGTTAGATTGTGTTGTTTATTGTCCAGTTTATGGTCACATGTGCTTTAAACTCTGTCTTTGTTATAAGCTAGGGAGCTGGTTTTGCCATGCGGTTATTTTTCGTGTTCACCATCAGATGGCATATTTCCTACTTTACCTCCATTCTTTTTTTTTTTTGTTATGACCACTCATAATAAAAAATCTTTTGCATGATGCCCTGAAACCTAATGAGCATTGATACGTATATATCAATGTGTAGCAATGTAATTAATAAAACGTGTAATATGTCTGATATTATAGTAATTCGGCAAGTTGACATTGGGTTTGACTGACTGTAAAATGAGTGTTATTGCATTCTTATTTTAATTATTTACATACTGAAAATATCTCCAACAGAAAAAGTACATCAAGTACATTGTTGGAAGGATGAACTGACCAAGTTACTACTTAAATTATTGCCCATACTTAATTAAATAATAAGCTGATCATCATGTCAGTATGCCGGTTTTCTCAACATAGACTAAGCCTAGTCTTGGATTAAACTGCAGTGTCGGTGGTGTTTTACCATTACAAATCCTAGTCTATGCCTTTAGGTTTAATCTGGGTCTGGGAAACTGGCTCACAGTGTCGTGACATATCAGTTAGAGTTCATCTGCAGTCCAGGTGGGGGCGCTAACTGTATTAGTGTGGCTCCCCTGTAGTCCAGGTGGGGGCGCTAATTGTATTTTCTCATAACTGTAGAGGATGGAAACACGACGTAATTAGCTTTTTTCTGCTAAATTTTTGTAAATGTGCATAACATTAGTGAAACGTTTGAATGAAATCCTGGCCAATGAGAACAACAGTCTGTTCAGACTCCCGGGCAGCGTTACAGATCCTAACGAATAGCCACTTAATCTGGATTTCCACATCACCAGACTCTACTGTAGCAGACTGATCTGATCTGATCTGATCTGGTCTGATCTGATCTCTTTCTCATTTGTTGCTCTGTAAAATTCTATTTTGACTGGCTACAAATCAAACTTCTGAAAACCTTAACCTGACTGGTTTTAACAGTCTGAAATGGGAAACAGTCAATTCTCGCGAGTGGTAAAGTCTGTTTCTTTTTCACATGTGGTTTCTTTATTCAGTAGGTTTTGTATCCATCCATCCATCATCTAAACCGCTTATCCTTCTGGGTCGCTGGAGCCTATCCCAGCTGTCATTGGGCGGAAGGCAGGATACACCCTGGACAGGTCGCCAGTCCATCACAGGGCAGACAGACAGACATACACATTCACACCTAGGGGCAATTCAGCATGTCCAATCAGCCTGACTGCATGTTTTTTGGACTGTGGGAGGAAACCGGAGTACCCGGAGGAAACCCACGCAGACACGGGGAGAACAGGCAAACTCCACACAGAAATGACCCTGGTCACCCGGCCGGGAATCGAACCCAGGCCATTCTTGCTGTGAGGCGACAGCGCTACCCACTGCGCCACTGTGCCGCCCTAGGTTTTGTATGATTGTGCAAAATGTTAATTTGTGCAAATGATCATTATTTTAACTAAGATGATTATCAGATCCCTCTTAGTTTTTGTGTGAAGTTAATGTCTTTTTAAACTCGTAGAACACACCACGTCCTATGAGCCGCTGGAAAAGCTGACAGCTGATTAGATCTACAGATTACTTTTTAGAATAATCTCCATTATGATTATTGTTGATGAGGGTCTCAAAAACATTTCAACCAGATTGATCTTTTGATTTTGGCATGAAAATCAACAGACTTTTAACAAATAATGCAGAGAAGGAAACGTCCCAGGAGAGCAGTGTCGTTTAACTATATTGCATTTGATCCGATGTACTGAATCACTGGTTCCCCCCGTGTTTTAGTCTCAGTGACCAAATTTTAAAATCTTCCTGTTGAAATCACATTTTTTTCTTGGGGAACAAAGCTTGATTTCTGAACTTCAAGCTTTGAGTACAGACGTCTAAACTCATTACAAACAAATTATACTGTTGCACACATTTGTCATCTATAATCTGTCATTCTGTTTATAAACACTGCAGTGTTTGTGTTTTGCGTGTGTTAAGTTAAACAAGTCTAATTGAATAATTTCTTTGTTTAATTATACATTCTTAATGACAAGTAATCCAAAAGAAACGGAGAGTAATCAGATGACATTTAATATATTAATCCTTTGGATTAAGTTACAATTACATTTTTTATGTGAGTGATAACTGAGCAGAAGAAAAAGGGAGACTGTAGTTATGAATATTAACATTGAATATTGTGAACTAAATTGGAAAATATTTAACTGGTCACTGTTTATACTGTGAGCAGCCTGAGACGGTAGATTGTGTCCTAATACAGTGAAAACCAAAGGAAAGAGGTTTTCAGGGTTTATTGGGAACCATAACAACCTCTTAATTGTTAATAAGATAAAACAGGGAATGCGCAAGGAAAATTGATAAGGTTTCTGGAAAAAACAGGGCTGTTTCACCTCTTATGCTCCGGGGTATGTTTTGGTTTGTCCATCTGAATTTTCATGACCAAATCGTAAGGCAAATTATTCAGTAACTGCATGAAATAAATGCAATTTATTTTATTTTATTTATTTATTTGTAAAAGTTCCCTTCAAATTAACAGAACGTGTTTTATGATCATACACATATTGCTATATTCTTACAATTTACTGCTGAAAGAAAAAAATCTTAGACGCTCTTTGTATTATTTTATAAAAGTAATGTTTACAGAGCAGATCACTGAAGAGACGCCATCTGTTTATAGTTTATAGCCCAGATTTGTGGGAAAATGGGTCGACTTTCAGTAGAAAAAAAAATACTGAGTTCAGCTTCTTTTATTATAAGGGTTTAAAATTACATCACCCATCTATTTGACTGGAAAGAAGACAGTTACAGCCTCATACGACCCCCACCTTTAGAATGTAGCTTATGAAATATGAAAGTTATGAAGAATATGACGAGGTGCGTTTTTGAACCACCGGTGGTCTCAAGGAGCTGAAGAGGTTAATAAAATTTATAATTATTTTTCCTCTAAATTGTTATTATTAATAGGTAATTATCTCCAGTCTCGTATTACTGACTGTATATTCTTATTCAGAAGGTCAGTGTTCAACTCTGATATGGTGCTCCAGTCCAGTAAGGGGCGCTAATGCACAGTATAGCAGGCTTACCAACCGCCAAAGAACCCAGCAGCAGCGGCAGCAGCAGCAGGTCCGCTTGTTCGGAGCCGCAGGACGGAGTGAGGAGCGGCTCAGGTTGAGGTAGGACAGCGGTCATCACCCCATCCACCCCGCGCTGGGCTCTAACCCTCGGAGGACCGTCTGGGGAGGTGTTTTAGACCTAAATCAGGGAGAACATCTTCACCAGCAGAGGAGCTTCATCCAGCCCAGCCCGAGCGCTGTTAGCCTTAGCTCCTCGGCTCCTCTGACTCGGAACCCTGATAACAGGTTCCCGGTGCTGTGCTGATCAGCTCTGTTATCTAGAGCAGAGTTACAGGGTGTTATTGAGGAGCTGTCTCGATCGTCTCTGTCTGGACCCAGAGGCTCATCCTGCGTGTTTACCTGTGTTGTACTGATCTGAGGAGGCGGTTATCATTGATATCACAGTGCATATCATTCATAAACGGTCTGTCTCTGAAAGCTTCGCTCCTGCGGACGGTTTTATTCATCAGAACGCAGCAGAAACTGCTTTACAGGCCGCGTTGAGCCGCATCTGCTGTATTAGAGAGTCATGAACACTGGTGAGTGCAGATAATCGATACATCGATATGAGGGATCAGGACCCCTCCCCCAACACCCCCACTGCATTGATTTATTGTTATCTGTAGAATGTTCTGGCAGTACTGAGGCAGTACTGACTGATCCAGGATGTGTACATACTGTGTACTGACTAGTGTTATTGTTGTTGTTCGGTTGTTATTGTTTACGTTATTCAGCTAAATGGTAGTGTTTCAGTAATATAGTGTAAAACGTGCCGATCTCAGTCTACAGCATCTTAATACTGTGAAAGAAAATGCTGTTAAAAAGATGGTTCTTAAAGGGTTCTTCAGTAAAGCCTGGTTCTATATAGAACCATGAACGCTCAGAGCAGTTTGCATGATGAAATGGTTCTTCAGATTGATGGAGAATGTGTTCGTGCTTCTATTGTTAGAAACCTGACATCATAGCAGTATCAGAACCCTTTTTAGTGCTATATAGAACCCTATATAACACCTTAAATGGTTCTTTGCATGGAAAATGGTTCTTCAGATTGATGGAATATGTGTTGGTTCTATTGTTACAAGCCTGACATCATAGCAGTATCAGAACCCTTTTTAGTGCTACATAGAACTCAATATAACACATTCTCCATTAAAAGAATCATTTCACCATGCAGAGAGCTGTTTAGGCACGAAATGATTCTTTCCGTTTTCATGGTTCTATGTAGAACCATTGTCTTTACTAAAGAACCCTTGAAGAACCATCTTTTTTAAGAGTGTAGGGAAAAGAGGAACACATGCGTACACGCCTCTCTGTAGAATGTGTGGATCAAAATGTGCAAACATATGTAGGTGAGGACAGTCTGTCACGGATGTTGGTGACATCAGTGGTATCTTCACCTCATGTTCTCTGTGCGTCGTTAGAACATCGTGTTTTGATCGTGTTCTTTAAGCCCTGTTTGAAGGATCCGGTGAGTGCATGATTACATTATACAGTGTTTTGTCTCTGGATTTGAAATGCTGTTTGGGAGTCATTGATCTGCTACAGTAGGGGTTTTGATTTGGGTAAATACAGATAATTTAATCAAATCTTAATACAGATAATTAGGTTTTGACATTATCAGCAGTATATTTAAATGTAATCCCTATTTAATTAGATCTTCTAGCATTTGACTAAATCCAAAGCTGTGTGTTGTGAAATCCCCTGTTTTATGGGAGGAGTGGGTTGATTGTGGTGTCTTAGCTATGGGAGATATTTAAGATCAAGACTCGTTAAAACCTTTTGATCAGTCTGTGCAGGAGTGTATCTTGCCCAGATAGGCAGGACTCAGGACAGCTTGGGTAAAGGATTTGAACCTGCCACTAGATGATGAACAGTGGGGCAGGACTTTACAGCATATTGCAAGAACGTTTAGATTAATACGGTTCAAGATTCTGCATCAATTTTACTGCACACTATGGAGATTACATAAGCTTGGTCTTCATCTGAATGTTGGTGCTGTCCAGATGGGGACGGTAGCATGGTACGTGCTCTGTGGTCCTGTTCTAAAGTCCAGCAGTTTTGGTTCAGCGTTCAATATCATATTTTTGAAATTACAGAAATCTCATTTTCCTTCAGTCCCAGACTGTATATTCTTGGAGACCCCGCAGTCGTAGCTCACTGTCATAAGCCATGGCTGATTGGATCCATACTAGCATTGTAATAGGAAGACAAATCATGCTTAGGGGGTGGAAGTCACCATTGGTGCCTTTATATAGGGTTCTATAAACACCAAAAAGGTTCTGATACTGCTATGATGGCAGGCTTGCAACAATAAAAGAGCCAACACATTCTCCAAGCTGAAGAACCATATCTCATAGAAAGAAACATAATATATATATATATATATATAATGTTATACTGTATTACTGAAACAAACTTTATATTCTTGGAGACCTGCAGTTGTCATAAGCAGAGGTCTCTCCCCTCCCTCAGTCAGTCTCCCCTCATACTAACACCACATGTTAAAGTCACAGACTGAACTCGCAAAATACAGTAAAGTAAAAAGAATACAAACCTTTTAATATACTCTTAAAAAAAGATGGTTCTTCAAGGGTTCTTTAGTGAAGAAAATGGTTCTATATAGAAACATGAACACTCAAAAACCCTTTGCATGATTAAAGGGTTCTCAGCATGTGAAATGGTTCTTCAGATTGATGGTGAATGTGCTGTAGTTGGTTCGATATAGCACTTTTTCTTTTTGAAAGGGTTCCTCTACTCTTACAAGCCTGACATTGTAACAGTAGCAGAACTTCTTTTTGGGGCTAAATACACAGCACATTCTCCATCAATATGAAAGGGGTTCTAAGGGTTCTATTAGTGTTCACGGTTCTATATGGAACCATTTTCTTCACTAAAGAACCCTTGAAGAACCATCTTTTAAGAGTGAATAGTAGCCCCAGCATTGCCTGAACAGTCTGCTTTTCTGGAATTAAATAAATACAGCAACATGGTTTGCATCATCAGTTAAATCTAAACTATTAGCAGTGGGAGTTTTGTAATTGTTTGACATTTATTTATTATATCATTATTGTTTTATTGATCAGAAACAAGTTAACATTGTCTGCATTATGTTAAACACCAGAAATACCTAATACCTTAGTTTAACTTCATATTCAACTGTTTTTGTCTCTTCTTCTTTCTCTAGGGTCGAGTGACCTCCTGCTCCTGGTGACCTCTGCCGCACAGGTTATATACACCTCCACATACCCCTCAGATGATACCACCAGGAGGAGTCTGTCAGACTGCTGAAATAAGGAGAGCTTACACATTGAAATATGGAGTCTGCAGAAAGCTCCGTTGTTCTTCCGTGCTCCTCCGGTACTCTCAGCACTGATTTATTCAACAGACAAATACAAAGCATTACAATCAAGGAGAGAACTCACCTCTGCCTGGAGTGCGGGAAGAGTTTTACCGAGAGAGGAACCCTTAAAGCACACCAGCGCATCCACACTGGAGAGAAACCCTTTCAGTGTTTGGAATGTGGGAAGAGATTTACTCAGCTGAATCATCTCCAGCTTCACCACCGATTTCACACAGGAGAGAAACCCTTTCACTGCTCAGACTGCGGGAAGAGCTTTAATCAGCAGAGTCACCTCCGAATACACCAGCGCATCCATACGGGAGACAAACCGTTTCACTGCCTGTACTGTGGCAGTAGTTTTAGTGATAAAGGCAATCTCAACAAACACCAGCGCATCCACACTGGAGAGAAACCGTACTGCTGTTCAGAGTGTGGGAAGACCTTTAAGGACAGAGGTCCTTTCAAAGCTCACCAGCGCATCCACACAGGAGAGAAACCGTATTACTGCTCTGAGTGCGGGAAGAGCTTCAATCAGCTGATCCATCTCCAAAGACACCAGCGCGTTCACACTGGAGAGAAACCGTATTTCTGTTCGTACTGTGGAAAGAGCTTTAGTGACAAAAGTACACTAAAAAAGCACCAGAACATCCACACGGGAGAGAAACCGTTTCAGTGCCCCATATGCGGGAAGAGCTTCAGTCAGCCGAGTCATCTTCAGCAACACCAGCGCGTTCACACCGGAGAGAAACCGTTTTCCTGCTCCGACTGCGGGAAAAGCTACAGACATTCAGGTACTTTAAAGGCGCACAAGTGCATCAGAGTAGACTTGGAAACTCCAGACTTGTGACTGTTATGATCCGGAGTCGTATTACAGAAACATCCTCGCTCTGACTGTCTGTTTACTCACCATGCCAACTTCAGTTAAGCTAAATTTAGGACACGGAATAAGTTTATCAACTTATAATCTTATCCACTCCAAACTCTTCATGAAATAAGAGAATTACATAAGAACCCTGGCTTTGGTTTCTAGTGTTGGCCCTTCTAATGAAAAGAGAACATGGTTATTTTTAGGTAACTTGTCTAGTGACGAGTTCACTAACATGTCATTACTTTTTTTTTCTGCAGTTCAAAAAAACCCAGAAAACAAAAATCCCAGTCAGTTAATGTTGATGAAATCTTGCCAGATCAAATACTGCAGCGATGTTGGCGAAAAATGAGGCGGTAGAGCTGAACGTGTGGCTGTTTAGTAGCAGGACTAGCGCTGTGGGCAGAAAGTCTTAAATGGAAACTGAAAAAGGTTTGACGCTCCTTTTAAACAGCAGAGGGCGCCGTCACAAATTCTTCACTCTTCTGATTTTGGTTACTGGAACTACCAGTTCATTGCACTTTAGTTTTGTTTTCCCATGTTTGTTTAACAGATGGTAGCTGTCGGTACTGTAACATACATTTTGTTTTTCAGATTTTGTCTCAGCTGTGCGCTTATCATTGGTTGCTTGGTAACAGACATGATGGAATTAATTAATGACTTCTGTTGTGTGTATTGGGATCACCTAACTTGTGATAAGATGCTGTGAGATAAAATTTAACTTCTAAATTAAGTTTAAATTTGCTTCTCTAATACAAATTTGTGAAAAAGCTTGTCTTGACCTGTCAGATCTGAATTTAGAAGTAAAGAAAAACAAAAAGAAAAAAAAGTTTCTGTAATACGGCAAGTATTAAAAAATGTAATTCATATAATTTAATATTGTGTTATGTGTATTTTAGCAAAGTATTCAAATATGTAGATATATTTAAATAGCTGTATTTAAATCCATGTAGCTGATGTAGGCAGATGTTAATATTGGAAGGACTGTTATCCTCCCTTGTGATTTCATGCATGTCTGTCTGTGATTGTTGTCAGTTGATCTTGTGTGGTTATTATGTTTTAATTACTTTTGTGTATGTGGATGTAACAACGTACTATAGTCAGTGTAAATGTAGTATATCAGAGAAAGACTGATGGGAATGTTCTGGTATGGAAATGTCTGTTTACATGAACGTCCTACCTGCTTTTATAGACAGTCCCTTCCACTCTGCCCCATCTTAGTCCTCACAACAGCAAATAAACATGGTGAAACGGCGTGATGAGGACCGTGTGTCACCATGTACTAGTGCTGTGGGGAAAGAGTGCTGCTCTTTAAAAACGTCACCAAAAGGAATAAACCGAGTGAATATTAACATCTATATAAGAATGCTTTTTCATAGGTTTATAGGTTGTATGAAAAGCTAGATAGGTGTGTATTGTCATGGGTTAAAACAACATATCAGTGTTTTCAGCTGGAGGCAACACAATTTGTCTTATTTTGAACACAAAGAGTGTTAAATCAGAAAAAGTGGCACAAAAAGTGTTAGAATGGTCAGTTTTTAGAGTGTATCTAGCTCACCTCTGATATACTTGGCTAAATAACAGGTGATGTAAAGCATGAATTTTTTTTCCAGAGTTCATCACTTAGTTTGACAGATAAAGCAGTGCTAGTAAATTAATCACTCTTATAGATTGCATGTAATGTTTGATTAACTGTAGCCAATGATGCTCACAAGCTAGCCCACCAAGAAAAGACCCAGCAGGGATGTAACACTGATGCGACATCTTTTTCATGTTGGATTCTGTTAATGATGTCAGATTACCTTTTGGTTGATAATATGATGTCAGTATAACATTGAGACTCAGCTTGTAACTGAGTTTGTATGTGTGTTGAATGTTGGTCGGGCTGGCTATTAAAAGATTTGTGTGAAAAGTCTACAAACATCTGTTTTAAGTAAAAAAAGGTCTATATTTTGGGACTATGCTCGGGAATAGTTATATGCATCCATGTCTTGTAAATGTCATTTTTTTTGTCTAATGTTTTAAAATTTCGTAAATCCTTCAGCAGCTTGAAACCAGTCGTACGTTAAAATTTTGCACAGTGCCAAAAAGCATGATCTGTAAAACATGTACGCCAAATGCTTCTTGGGAAAAATTAGTTTAAGATCAGTGAATCTGTGCAGTGCTGCTTGACCAATAACTAGCTGGAGTCTTTGCAGGTAAATTTTTAAATATAATTATTCAGTGCAAAAAGAAATATAAACTACTGTTATATTGAAACTACTTTTGTTTTGCTGTTGCTTTTGTTTGTGCGTGTTCCGTACCAAAGCGCACACCAATCAGCTACTTCATCAAGTCCACCTCCATTTTTTTCTGCACTCACTGTCCACTTTATCAGCTCCACTGACCATATAGTTTCACTCTGTAGTTCTACAGTTACAGACTGTAGTCCATCTGTTTCTCTGATACTTTGTTAGCCCCCTTTTACCCTGTTCTTCAGTGGTCAGGACCCCATGGACCCTCACAGAGCAGGTACTATTTGGGTGGTGGATCATTCTCAGCACTGCAGTAACACTGACGTGGTGGTGGTGTGTTAGTGTGTGTTGTGCTGGTCTGAGTGGATCAGACACAGCAGTGCTGCTGGAGTTCTTAAACACCTCAGTGTCACTGCTGGACTGAGAATAGTCCACCGACCAAAAATATCCAGCCAACAGCGTCCTGTGGGCAGCGTCCTGTGACCACTGATGAAGGACTAGAGGATGACCAACACAAACTGTGCAGCAGCAGATGAGCTATCGTCTCTGACTTTACATCTACAAGGTGGACTGACAAGGTAGGAGTGTCTAATAGAGTGGACAGTGAGTGGACAGTGTTTACAGTGAAGACCACTGTTAACATGACATAAATGTGATATTAAAACAACCTAAAATTACCTTTGTGAACAAACAGTGAGGATGTCACACCGAGGGGTATATATATATATACACACACACACACACACACATATATATATATATATATATATAGCTGGCAGCATGATAAACTAATGCTAACCAGTTGCTCTCTCCTGATTATCAGCGCTATTTAACGTTTAGAAATTGTTACTAGATTGAATCTTTGATGTTTATTAAGTGGTCTATTTCAAATTGTGCTGAGCCCGGTTTTTAATTGTTCTGTATCGAATCATTACTGTGTGGAAATGATACTGGAACGGTTACCCTCCATACCCTCCCGTCTGGCCCTGCAGTGGAAATAATGTTGAACAATAAACCCAAGAGCCAAGTAACAAAAATGAAGTTCAACAACAAACGCTGCAAGATGTGATAATGTAAAAAAAAAAATAGAAATAGATAAATGATTTTAATCAAATCAGTTAATAAAATACCATTTGTTTTTTATTTAAATACATTTTTCAGCCTTATCAAAGAATTTTTATTTCCATCTCCATACAAAAATCACTTCTTTGATTTTATTAACAGTGATGTTTTAATCAAATCTCCTTCAAAGTTAAAAAAGTAAAAATAAAATCAATTTATCTTCTCAACCTTAATTTCAATTTGTTTCATTTATTTTTTTTAATTCCACCCCTCCTATGTTTAAACTCAAAACAAACTGCTCCATTAAAAAAAATATATATTGAAGCAGCATATTTAAGATCCTATGGGTAAGTTTTACACACTCAGATTAAGGCTAAACCTAGACTAGGTAAAAGCCATTGGCACTGTAGTTTAGTCTAAGACAGGAGTGTCTAGACTAGGCTTAATCCATGTCCAGGAAAGTGACATAGATGCTTGTGAGTGATGCTTGGTTTACTCTGCAGTAATGTGGACCCAGTTTCATTCGTAATCTGGTCCATTTATCCAATGTTACTATTAGATATATCAGATATAATATTTAATGATAAAAATAATCATTCAAAAATACTGTACCTATTCACTGTTACTAATTTCACAATTAACCAAGACGTGTGTGTATGTAATGCGCATGAATAGCAATGGTTTACTGGAACTTACTGAAATACTCTAATACTTAAATACTTAAATACATCAGGTTTCACTTCAGCATCATGCATTTTTGTAAGAAAAATATCCCCATGGCAAAACCAGCTCCCCAGCCTGCTAGTCTGTCTAAAATGCAGTACATTGAACCATAAACTGGATAATGTAAATAATAAAACACAATCTAACTCACCTTCAGTGAACAGAGCAACCACAGCGTGCAGGTTCAGTCATAATTTAGTCAGTTTATCTGAATAAAACTAGCTAACACTAGCGCAGCCTCACGTAGCTATAATAAAGGTTGGGTTGGTTAGAGGTTAGTTGGGGATCTGAGCTGGTTATATATTTAATTGATAGTGTTTTTAATATTAGTCATATGTTTATCTGCCCAGGAACTGCAGATGGAAATCAGCTTATAAGCTAACTAGTGCAAAGCATCTCTTCTCATTTAAAATTAATTATGTTGTGTATGATCCCTGATAAAACTAACATAAACTAATAAACTAAACAACTAAAATGGTCAATTTGATATTGATACTTCAGTATGTTGGTCTGTAAGTGGTATTATTTATAAATATAGAAGCTAATATTGAACATTACAGCACTTTACTGTGATATTTAGATTTTTCCCCACAGCAATGCACTCAGACTTTACTGTGAGTTTCCCAGAATTCCTTAATCAAGAAGAGGCTGCAATTTACTGACCAACCAGTAGATGGTGCCAAACCCATTAGCACCAACATCCTTTGCATTCTCACTTTTCCCCTCAATTCTACTTTTTTATGCTACTGTTCATCCCATTTAATTCTATGCATTTTTTAAAATATGCAATAATATGGTTTCTTTTGCCTTTTTTTTACACTGCAGGTCTTTAAAATGAAATTAATCAACTAAAACAAACCAAAACTAACACAACTAAATAAACAATGTAAAATTAGTTAATAAAACAATTAAAACCTTTAATACAAAAAAGAGATAGTACAGCAATACAATATATAATGAAAATAAATGAAAAAATAAGTAAAATAAGACAATATATAACTAGGACAATACACAATAAAGATAAAAAATAAAGATAAAACAAAGATTAGAACTAAAGATCATTACAATTGAAAGATAGACTTTTGCCTACATTTACTGACAGGCTTATTAATGCGATATTTAAGCATAAACGTATCATCCAGCCATAAGCCAGGGTACTTATATTTAGTGACTCAATACTGGATCCCATTGCAATGATATTCAAAGCAGTAACATCCTTTGACATTAACATTTTCTAATTCTACAGTATTTTCCTTTTTTATACTATTTAATTATTTACAATTCTTAATATCTGCAATAATACTCTATTTAATAAGGCTTCTTGACTGTTTGCCATTAAAATGGCAACACCAAGATAGATGTGAGACATCAGAGTGATATTCATTTGGCAGACTGCACATGATTATAAATACAGCTCCGACAGGCTTGCAGACCAGTAATCAGTAATCTGTGGATCCACCACAGGCAGAATTAACCTCTATACAGTCTGGCACGCAGAGAAAGAGATGCTGGACGTGTGTTTGTGGTATGCTGTGCCAAGGAGCCTCTATATGAGCCCGAAGTTCACCCGTGGTGTCCGCTGGTGGTTTCTAGCGTCCCAGACGTGCTCAATGGGAGGACATATCAAATGAATGTGCAGGTGAGGAAGAAGTGGCACATGATGGTTATGCCATGTATGGTCAAGCATTGTCCTGCTGGAATGTAGTGCCAGAGGACATAAGGTACCTCCTCAGGCTCCAACACCTCTTTGATGTATCACTGGCTTGTCAAGGTATCGTCTTTGTGTATGAGGCATAAATGTGAGTGGAACACAATAGCACACCAAACCATAACGTCTGGTGCTGGATCTGTATGGTGTTGCGAAGTACCTCTGTGAGCCTTTTGCTGCAGTGCCTCCATGCACATCGTGGTGCAGTAACCTGAAGCGGGACTCACAGTACAATGTCAATTATCCTGCACGTTTCTGCACCACTGCAGTAGCACACGCCTGTATGAGGGTCAACTGAGACAAAGCAATAGACACAGAGTGGAAAGGTCCCACTCCTGCAAACGGTGTCGAACAGTGCGGGCAGACACCTGTTGACTATGACACATCCCAACTGTTGAGCTGAGGTCTGTGAAGTCCATCAGCCGTGTGCAACAGATGTCTGTCTTCCCATTCGTTTGTGTTTTGGGGGCTCCAGACCCCTCGCTCGACCCTCCTCCATCTGCTGCTCTCATCACTGTGACTGCATTCCCTCACTGTCTTCTCAGTGTCCTATTGAGAAGACTGTCTACGAGCAAACACTTAATGAGATGCTTTAAACCTGCTCTTTGTAGTCGCTCTTTATACCAAGTCTGGGGTGAGAAACTCGTTTTCACTCTCTATCATCACCCACCTATTCTGCACGTTTCAGAGACATATGATTTCAAAGGCCAGCAGTGTATTATTGTTCATTTTGCCTCACTAAACAGAACATTAATAAAGCAATATATATTTACAGTGACACAACAGGAATGGTACAAAGCCAGAGTAATGTCTGGATGACACCCTGAAACCGGTAACATCTTTATGATTGCATGTTTTCTATCTGCTGCTTCGTTTTTCCAGTAGTCATGAAGCAGTGTTTAAAAGCTCAGGTTATAAATAAGACTTAAGATTTATTTATTGAGCTCGTTTCACTAATTTCGCCCTGGTTTGCTCCCACTACTGTGTTGAGTCCAGCCTGAGCGCTGTAGCATGCTGGGAGTGTTGTACTCAGGACATTTAACCATGTATGTTCAGTAACATTTTATTTGGATTGCCCACTGTAGACACATTATAGATGCTTACCTTGCATTTAACTTCAATACAACTGAGGCCCTATTCGCATTTATCTGGATATTTCTGAAAACCTTTTTTTCTCTGCGCTTTTGACTTCCATCCACACAAGAGCAGCGTTTTCATTCACTAAAAAAGACCTAAGCATAGCCAGTTTG